ACTCCCCGGGATGGGTGCTTGCTTATCCCTAGGTGACCATCAGACAAACCTGGCCAAAGCCCAGGATGTTGCTTAAATCCTGGGTTTGCCTAAAAGGACTTTTCAGGGCAGCTCAGCTCACCCCATCGACCCCTCCATTCAAAACACACACACACACACACACACACACACACACACACACACACACACACGGTTCTTCAGGGTGGAACAGCAGACACTCACAGGGCCCTGCAGGGTTCAGCCATCCCCGCAGGCTGGGCTGCATGAGGAAGACGTGACAGTCCATCAGTGTTTTCATGCCACGCACACCCTGGTTCTGCCCCTTGGAGCAGCTCAGCTCAATAGGCTGCATCCAAAAGGCAATGCTACCGACCATAGAGGTTTGGGGTAAAGATTTAAAAAGGTAGGAAAAGCACTGAGCCCTCAACCAATGGCAGGCACTCAATTAGGAGTAGCTCTAATTACATCGACAGCTAACTTTCCTCTGGCACGTTCAAGCATTCGTTACGACATGCGCACGCAAGTGACAGAATGAGGACAGCGAAAACAGGTATGTTACCCGCTTTGCACAGAAGATCAAGATTTGGAAGTGAAGTGACTCACCAGAGATTACGTGCTAAATCAGTGGCCAAGCTGAGACTCGGTCCTGGGGTCTGCTTGACCTCAAGCTGTGTCTGGCCTGCCAAACAGTATGGTGCCCAGATAGAGGACCCAAGCTAAGCACAAAGCCTTTGCCAATCAGAACCTATAGCGAGTTAGTTTCCCTGGGTCCAGGTTACCTGCTATCGGTAAGTCACAACTGAAGCCAGATGGAGGGACATGCGGTCATCGGGTACTCCCACCCAGAGCCCATTCATGTCTGTGGCCAGGGAGCCCACAAGAAACACCCTTGAACACTGCTGAGGTCCCAGCTGAAGCCCGTGAAGAAACCAGATCCACATGTCACAGATCAGGAACACTGGTCAGAGGTGGGACTCTCACTCAGGGCTGGAACCTCCTGTCTTGGAAACCATTCCCCCACATCTGATCTGTTTCTTAGAATGGAGAAAAGTGAACCCTGGCTGGTGTGGCTCAGTGGACTGAGCACCGGCCTGTGAACCAAAAGGTTGTCAGTTCAATTCCCAGTCAGGCACATGCCTGGGCGGCGGGACAGATCCCCAGTTAGGGGCGTTCAAGGGGCAACTGATCGGTGTTTCTCTTGCACGTCAATGTTTCTCTCCCTTTCTTTCTCCCTCCTTTCCCCTCTCTCTAAAATAAATAAATAAATAAAATCTTTTTAAAAAAAGAACGGAAAAAATTGCCCTTTAAAACCAAACTAAAAAGCTGCTAAGTACACTTGGGCACACCCATGTCACTTTTGGCTGCTACCAGACAGGGATGGAAGAAGGAAAAAAAAAAAAACTAAACAAATCAGAATTCAAAATGGAGCAACCTGGGGGCACCGGGCCCAGGGGCAAAGTACACCTGGGAGCTCAGTAAACCCAGAGGCATATGGTCACCGGACAGGCTGACAATGGTGAGGATGCCAGCATCCACGGTCAGTTATGGGTAGTGCTCCTCTATTAATAAAGGAGGGAAATAAATATTTCGGAGAGCCCTGCCCCCTAGGGGGGTGATGTGGATTCTTAGCTCCCTGAAAAAATCTGGATACTCCATTCCCAAGGGCTTCCAGAATCCCAAATTCTGCTGCAACAGAAAAGATTCCTCTATAAAATACTCCACAATCCAAGCTTCTCACTAATTCTTTCCAGGCCACTCTCCTTTCCCATCCCTTCCCCTCCCCACCAATCTGGGTTAATGAGGTTTTATTGGAACCCACCATGAGCCACAGGTAGAGACTTAAACCAGCTCCACCCTCCCTGTGGAACTGAAGCCAGGAGTGACATCAGCCCTGGAAGGCTCGGAGCCGGGCTGAGGCAGTGAGCGCCTCCCCCACCCCCCACCTACTCGGCCGGGCAGTGGGGAAATGTCTCTACTAGCCCCCATAATTAAGGCAAAAAGGAATTTTATGCCTTTCAAGAAAGAGGAGAGAAAAACAGCAAATAACTATTCTAGAACAAGCCATTTTCCTCGTGTGGCAAACAGAAAAGACCACAGGACACACGGCCGTGCGCGCGGGCGCGCGTGCACACACATACACACACACACACACACACACACACCTTTTTAGACAAACCTGTTCTTTTCTCTCGGGAGTGGAGTTGAACAGCCTGCGGCCCTAGCAGCCTTCCCTTGCCCATTCAAGGTCAGGTGCCCAGGGACCACACCGTACCTCACCAGTCCCCAGCAGGGCTCTGACCTGCTTTCCCCTGGGACCAAGGTGAACCCTCAGAGACACAGATCTCTGTGACCCGAGGAATCTCCCACAGGGAGATCTGTGAAGGCATTTAATGGCACTTTGTATCTCCACTTTTAAATCAATTCTGGAGAGGGAGAGGGCAGGGCTGGGAAAGAGAAAAGAAACTGAACTTTATTTTTTAAAGAAAGAAGAAAGAAAAAAGGAAAGAAAGAAAGGACAGCTAAGCTCCAAGCCAGAGCCTACCCCAAAGCTTAGTACTTTCAGGCTAGCTCAACCCCGCCCCGGAAGCCCTCCCACCACCTCAGCTGTAAGAAGCCCCCCTCCCTCCTTCCTTCCCCCCTTGAGACTCACTTGGCTCCTGGGCCATGTCTCCATCATGTGTCAAAGTTTCTAGGCAAAAAGAAAAATGCCCCATAGAGCAGCATCTGCCCCTTCCCAACACAAAAGAACACTGAGAAATGCGGTCCACAGAGAATCGCAAATCCCATCTGCCTGCCCCTGCTAACGGTTGCTCGGGATCTGAGCTCACAGGCCCGGCAGCCTCACCCCAGCCAGTCAAAGCAACCCCGGCTCCTGCCCTGGTGGGGTGGCTCCGCTGGTTAGAGTGCAGTCTGGAACACCAAAAAGCTTTGGGGTGATCTCTGGTTGGGGCGTGTGTGGAAGGTAGGCAATCAATGTTTCTCTCTCCCTTCTTCTCTCTCTAAAAATCAATTAAACATATCCTCAGGTAAGGATTTAATTTTTTTTTATTAAAAAAGAAAAGAAACCACCACTCCTCCTGACTCTGGTGAAGACAGGCTGATAGAAAACAGGTGGAGAACCCCACCTCAGCATCCCTGCTGAGGCCTCATCTTGGGCCCGGAGAGAGTGGAGCGGCCAGGTAAGGCCAGGTGGGTGAGGGAAGGAAGCCAAGCACCTCCACTCTCTTCTCTAGGATATTAACTATGATTCAAGGCCCAAGCTGAGTCCCACAGAAACCACATCCCCAAAGAGCAAAGGAGAATATAAACGCCAAATTCTTAGATCTGAAATCCAGAACTGCACGGAAGACCCTGCTCAGAAACCCTATCTGTCCCCATGGCTCCCCATATAGGACAACCCACACACAGTCCAACCCATTAGCAATGCGAGAGGCATCAGGGACCCTCTCCTGGACTTCCAAATGTTTCCAAGCACAACAGTCACCTGAGAAGCGCGGGGGAGCTTCACAAATCCTTCTGGAAAACGCTTTACCTGGGCTAGACCTTGTAAAATACCCGAAGCTCTCAATAAGTGAGGGCTACAATTATTCTAGAGGGACGAGCTTAAACAAGTCGGGGTGGCTGAGACGCTAGTCCAGATTCCACACTACGAACCGAGGACCCACCCCCGGCCGGCCTGCGCTCCTTCCCTGCCCACGTGCCTCCCTGTGCCCGAGCCCGGGAAGTCGAGCGGTCCGGACGTGGCCACTTCCGGAAGGGGAAGAGCCCCTCTCCATCCCAGGGGATGGCCGACTCGCACCGCGGAGAGGACCTCGGGACTCGAGCGCCGGGGCTGGGGGGTGGCCGTGGGCACCCGGTGGCCAGCGCTGACACCTGGCGGCGGCCCGGGTCCCAGCCCACGTTAGGGCCAGCGCTGCGGGGCGGTTCCCAGGAATGGGTTACAGGGGCCGAGAACAAAGCGCCCCCATTGGGGAAGGCGGGCTAGCGGCCGGCAGCCAGGGCGGGACTTCACTTTCTGGGGACCCTCGGGATACTCTTTGTCGGCCAGGTTCCTCTTTAGAGGGGACAAACCCCTCGTCAATGGTGGATACTGGAGTCCTACCTAGAAGCCTCCTTCAGTCTCGATCTCCACATTTGTCCCTCTTTCCCCCGGCTCCACTGGGCGGGCCAAGGAACCCGCCTTTCCAACGCGCGGCCCCAGCACAAAGCGGGGCCGGGGGAGGGGAAGGGCCGGTCCGGGTCCACTCGCGTGGAAGCCGCGCGCCCACCCGGCAGTCCCCAGCGCGGGCACGCGCCTGTTCGAGGGCAGCACAACTTCAGCCCAGAAGTTGGATTCCTGCGGCTCTCTGGTGCTCGGGAGCCAACTTCCCGGAACCTCCCGCTGCCAGCTCGGCCCGGCTCCCTTCGGACAGCCAACGGAAAGCCCCGGGGCCCCACCTCCGCCCGCCGCCCCGCGTCCCCGCGCGGGCCGGGCCCCGCTCCTTGGCAAATGCGCCCGCCTGCTCCCGCGCGGGCTCCTCTGCGCCCAAACTTGCCTCCGCCAAAGGGGCCGGGCGCCCGGTCTCGGCGGGTCTGGTTTGAATTAGGATCTGCGAGAGGGGCGCTGTGGTTGTGGTCACCGCTTCCTCCCGGGTCACCGGCGGGGGGCCCGGCCACCGCAATGCCCGGGTTGACGGGGTGCGAGCCGGCGATCCCAGGTGCCGCCGCAGGCTGGCGGGCTCGGACGCCTGTGGAGCCGCTTTACATAATTGAACGCTGGGCCCTGGCGCAGGCTCCATTCTGCGGGCGCCCCAGTCCCGAGTCCGGAGCCGCGGGACCCACCCGGCGCCCACAGACGGTGGGGCTAGATCCCGGGTTTCGGGGTTCACCTTCGCGGGGCTAGCGCGGGAAGAAGGTTAAGTCTGAGGTCCCCCTCCCCCTCCACGTGCCGCCGTCCGCATCTGCGGGTCTGCAAGCCCGGGCTTCCCGCCGCCTCCCAGCCGGGCCCCGGCCACACTCACCGGGAGGACCGGCTGCAGGCGCAGCGCCAGAGCGCAGAGCCAGAAGCAGAGCGCCGGGCGCCTCATGCTGTCCGGACCGGCGGCGGGGCGCGGCGGGCTGCGCGGGTCGGCTCTGCGCGGATGCTCGGAGCTTGGAGCCGGCACCTCCGGGTGCGCTGCGCTCGACTCCCTTGGACGATGCCCCGTGTATGGCTGTCCTGGGATGGGGCTGTGGCGTCCGCCGGCCGTAGTCCACTGTCTACTGCTGGATTCCTTCCGACTCAGCTCCGCTCCTGCCGGCACCTCTCCCGCCGAGCTCCGCCTTATAATAAACCCACAGGCCCTTAGCCGTTGCAAAAACTAGCCCCCAACCCCCAGCTCGCCAGGTCCCCGGGCCAGCCCCAGTCCCCACCCCCCAGGACCCCGCCCCCTGAGCCACCCAGCCCTGCCTCTCCGGTCGCCCCACCCCGGAGCCCGGGCCCCGCCCCGCCCCCTCCCTCACCTCCGGGTTAGAGTCTCGCTGGTCTCCTGAGCCGCGGGCCCTGCGGTTCGGGGTTCCCGGTGTTTCAGCTCCGCCGCTCCCGGGTAGTGGGGGCCCGGGTGCACCCGCTTCCGTCCTGGCCCAGGGCATTGAGGAGCTGTCCGGGAGAGGGGCTGGAAGGGAGGTAGTTGATCCTGGACTGTGGCCGCCAGTCTGCAGCGCCCTCTGGGCGTGGACCCGGAGCTTCCTCCAGGTGCGTTGGACCTGCAGGTTCCCGGCGGGAAGATTTCGGGCGACTCTGCGGCACCCCGAAGTGACTGGGCATTAAACGGATGGATGCCTCCCCCGCCTGTCCTCTTAACTGCTGATAGGGCTCCTACGCCCGCCCTTCCCCAGCACAGGTTCCCCGTTGCACTCGCGTTCTGCCGGCACTTCAGAGCGTGCTGGAAACTCCGGGCCTTACTTTAAACATCTGACCACGCTCAGGTTTTTTGTTTTTTGTTTTTTGGTGTTTTTTTTTAATGAATTTTCGGCATCTTTCAATGGAAGACAATGCCCTCTCTCTTCATCCTTTGAGCTAAAAGTTAAAATAAACAGCTTCGTTTCCAAGTGGTCTCCTCTGGCCTGCAGGTCTGAGAAGCACCCCTTGGAGCTTCCTCCTCCTTCATGATTCCTGGAGCAGCCCTGGGCCGTGTTTCCCTTGCCAGTCAGGCACCTCAGTGCAGAAGGCTATGGGAGGCCTATGGGCATAGTGCAAATGGCCTTGAGAGAAGGGGAAGAACTGCCTGGCCTGCCTGCAACCTCATAGGCAGAAGGGATGGTGCCAAATGACCTACGGACCTGGACACCAAAGATGGTGCCGTCCCCACCCCTCCTCCCCAGGCAGGGGAGAGGCTGTCCCCTGGTGGCCTCTCGGATGGTCTCCAGTGTTTTGCTTTAAGTGGGTTAAACATTCCTGGGTCCTGGGCTATACAGACGGGACACTTGGCCTGGGCCCCGCCCATCCAGCACCCTCCTGCCTGCATCCCCATCTCAAGCCACAGCCCTGCTCCAGAATACCTGTTTGACCTTAGGCAGCTCTCCCTTTGTGAGTCTCAGTTCACCCTCTGTGTCCATGATGGATGGTAGATCCTCACCAAGGTTCTTAGGGCCTGAGGGGAGGCGCTGCCTGTCTCCGGTTCTCGAATCACCCAACATCAGGGCTGCAGCAGGCAGGGCCCCTCAGGAGCTCAGGATGTCCTCCTGGGTTATACCGTTCTGTCCACAGAAAGCCATGTGTCTCCGAGGGTGGCTGCACTGTCTGGAGTCAGCTCTCTGGTCTTTTTAACCCAATATGGAAGAAAAATAGGTCAGTTTGGAATCATCTTTCTCTACTGCACGAAATAAAGAAAACTGGAGTCAGGGAGGGTTTGATGGAGTGTTTTCATACTGTAAAAGGTTAGCAGTTCAGTGTTTCTTTCCAACAGAATACCATGCATCTGCCCCAATCAATGCGTGTTCCTTTTGGGCAGATTAGGAAGAGGCGGGGCCCCAAGGATGACACTGTATAGAGAAGGGAAGTAGAGGGTCGGGCCTTGCCTTGACCCAGCTGACCCCTGGGCTGCTTCCTTCTCCTCTCAAGCCAAATTCTGCAAGAAAATCTCTCCCTACTAGAAGCAGCTGTCTCAGGGTCCTGCCCCTCGGATCTCTAGAGCCCTCCGGCCTGCCCTGGTGACACCGTTCATACACACTGGCAGGACCAGCCCTGTCTGCAGCCATCAGGGCCTTTCCTGGGCCCCCCTCATCCCTTGTAAATCTAACTAAAGGGTTAGTGGCTGGCTGAGCAGGCGGCTTCCAGCCTCCCATCAGTACACCGAGGCAGGTCCTCCATCCTGATTTGTATTCCTAATGCAAATATCCAGTATTATCCCTGGTGAATTATTAACTGCCTTGAATGTTGCTTCCTTTTCCTGGAAGGAAAGAGGAAGGCGGGGCCAGCGCCACCTCATTTCTCTCATCCTTCCCATGGATCCACAGGGCTCCATTCTGGGAGTAAGACCTAAGATCGCCACTGGGGTGTCACGTGGAGGGGAGCGAGGAGGAAGAGGCCAGCAGCTGTGTCCTGGGGGGGGGCGGGCTGGGTGTAGGTTGCCCCTTTGATGCATTAGGCACCTAAACCTCATAGACATGCTTTGGGCGAGTTGCCACCTATCAAAATTTAAAGTGCACTTGCCCTTTAACACAGGGATTCTGCTTTGGCAAACTTCCTCCCCAGAAGTATTTTCACCAGTGTCCAAAGAGGCATGTTCAATTGTCCATCCGTAAAGGAAAGGTGAGGTCAGCCTGAGTATTCCCACACTGTGGAATGCTACACGGTTTTTTAAATGAAGTAGATATTTAAGTCCTGACCTGGAACATTCTTCAAATCCTATTTTTAGGTGAAAAGGAGCAAGTTAAAGACTGATCTATATATAGTATGGCCAAAATTTTCTTTAAAACATGTATGATGTATATAGACTGACTATATGTGTGTACTAATAAAAAGGTCTAAAGGAGAATAATGGGGCAGGGACAGTGAGGGACAGTGTGTAAGTTTACTATGTATTCTTTAGTGTTTATATTGAGAATATATAACTTGTTTAACTTTTTTAATTGAAATTTGTTTCTGAAACTGAAGATGATTTCAACCTCCAATAACAGCTTCCCTTTAAACAGCTCGAAAAGTAGGATAATTAGTGCCCGTCCCTGGACCTGCATTACCCACAGCACAACCAGAACCTCCACAACACTGGAACCCAAGACCCTCCCACCCTCAGCTCTGCCCACCCCCCACCCCCACCCCGTGTCACCTTCCTTCTCAGGACGGTGGCCAGATGGCACTGTTCTCAGCCATCACAGCTAACTGAGCGATGTCCAGAAACAAGGCCACCTTCTCCTAGTGTCTTTCTCAGGAGTAAGGAAATAGTTCCCGACGACCCCCTTACACACACACACACACACACACACACACACGCTTCTTTTCCCATCTCGCTGGCCCGAAGTGGGCACCGTGCCTTCACGCAGTCATCACCCGTAAGCGATCTTGAGCACCCACATGGTTGTAGATTAACCCTCTGGGAGCTTGGATGTGGAGGAGCCAAGGCCATGTCCACTAAATATTTTGACTTCTTAAAAAGTGTAACATGCCTGTAAGGACATTCTGCTCAAGGCCATCGAAAACACACCTTTTTCCATCCAACTTCTTCCCATCCTAAAGCATTTTAAAAGACAGTTGATGGTTTTTACTGTGAACCACTTGACACATCCAATAAAGAATAATGTTCCTCAAAAAAATTAAAACTGGAATTATCATGTGATCTAGCAATTCCACGTCTGGGTGTGCACCCCAAAGCAAGAAAAGCAGGGACTTGCACAGATTCGTGCACCACATTCAAAGCAGCACCGTGCACCACAGCTGGCACAATCCCTGCAAACGCTGACAGTGAGTGGACCAACGCAACGCCGTGCTCACTGTGATGGGACGTCTCTGAGTCCCGAAGGCAAGAAACCCTGTCACAGGCTGCGGCCCTGATGGACCTTCGAGACTTTAAGTCAAGTGGAATAAGCCAATCACAAAAGGACAAAGACCGCCTGAATCCACTTAGGTGAGGTGTTGAGCGTAGTCAAACTCAGAGGCAGGAAAAGAGGTGAACAAGGCGTTACCGCTCAGTGGGTATGGAGTTTTATGTCAGGAAGGGGGACAAAGCTCTGGGTGTGAATGACGGTGGCACAGGTGGCTGTGGCACAACTGTGTGGATGTCCTTAATGCCATTGAACTGTGTGCTTAAACAGTTAAAGTGGTACATCTTGCGTTATGTACACTTTTTTAAAAATGGAAAAAACCTTAATTGCTAAAAAAATGAAATAATGAACAACTGTGCTAAATAAACTACCCAGTTTATCCAATCTTAACATGATGTCTCTTTAAAATTGTTTTTTTATTTTTTAACTTTATTTATTTATTTTTAGAGAGAAGGGAAAGGAGGGAGAAAGGGAGAGAAACATCAACATGTGGTTGCCTCTCGTGCACTCAATACTGGGGACCTGGCCCGCAACCCAGGCATGTGTCCAGACTGGGAATTGACCGGCGACCCTTTGGTTTGCAGGCCAGCGCTCAGTCCACTGAGCCACACCAGCCAGGGCTGAATTGTGTTGTTGTTTTTTTAATGAAATGAATCATTACAGATTCAAGTGAGTCTCTCAATTTATGTTTTGAGATGTATGCTACTCTGAGATGTATGCTACTCATGTGGCTGTGGCCATTTATCTTTTTTTTTTTAAAAGATTTTATTTATTTATTAGGGGGGAAGGAGAAAGGGAGAGAAACATCAATGTATGGTTGCCTTTCATGCGTCCCCTGCTGGGGACTGGCCTGCAGGGAAGGAGCCTGCAACCCATGCAGGTGCCCTGACTGGGAATTGAACCGTGATCCTTTGATTTGCAGGCCTGTGCTCTATCCACTGAGCTACACCAGCCACGGCTTGGCCATTTATCTTAATTGCTGTATTATAACTCGCTACATGCATATACTGTGACGTACTAATCCCTAGACATTTGGCTGGTCCCAGTTTCTCAGTATAACACCCAATGCTGAAGCCAACCCTGCACCTCTCTGCTTGAGTGCACGTGAGACTTCTCCAGAGGTGGCTGGAGCTCCTGGGCTTTAGGTACAAATGTCTTCATCTGTCTCAGGTGTTGCTCTAAGCATTTTCTCTAAACCCATCGCTCTCCGAAGGGCTTATAGCAATTTTCGCTCCCAGCAAAAGCAGTGAGAGTTCCCATTTTCCTACCCCCTCTGGATGACTTGGCACTTATCGGGCCTTTCATATTTTGCTAGCCTGATGCAGGTAAAGTGACATCTCGTTGCCACTTGATTTTGAATGGCTGTCCCTTTATGAAACATGGTGCTGAAGCCTTTTGTTGCTGATTGCTTGGGAAGGCACTGCTGGTTTGCTCTCCACACCTGTTTTTCTCCCCCTTTTCAATGGAAGAACTCCTAAAGTTCAGCTGGGCTTGTGGCCACTTGAAATAAAGACTACATTTCCAAGCATTTCTTCCAGTCACCCACAGCTGCGTGATCAGGGTTTTGTCAATGGGACCAGAGCAGAAGTGATGGGTTTATGTTCCTTCGAGGAAGCGTCAAAGGAAGGGGCCCTGGCCCTGGCCTTTCCTCTTCTCTTTCCTCCTGGCTGGAAGGCAGATACGATGGCTGCAGCCGGAGCAGTCATCTTTGGACCATGACGTGAACTCGGGGGACAGAGGCCATGCTTGCATAGCGGAGGAACGGGCAAGAAGGAGGGCAGTCCCTGGTCCACGAAGCACCACACCAGCTCCGCCCACCCAGACACGTGCGTGGTGGACAAGCAGACTTCGCCTCACTTTGGACACTGTTATCCTGGATTTCTGCCCCTTGCCAGTGAATCTCACCCCCGCAGTACGCCGTGAACTCGCTCTTCCGCACATGACCAACGGATTTGCCTGGGGAGGAGGGCACGTGCCATCCATCAATAAACACCTGTGGGAGGTGACCCAGCCAGTTTCCTAGGCCTGGGTGTTACATCTGGATTTGACTCAAGGTACCTAATGACCTCTGTCCCCAAAAGAAGTGTACACAAGAAGGGCCTCCTCTGAGAGAGGAGGTGTCTTCAGAGTCTGCAGCCCACG